TCTTGTGGTTAGGATTATAATGAACCTCATGACCCTATTTCAAATGCAGAATTTTCAAGAATCTCTTAACTTCTTTCTCCTGCTGTTAGAATTTCTTGCCAGGAGTGGGTGTTTACAGCACAGTAGTTAAGAAGCTGCTTGGAATACCTGCATTCCATATCAGAGTGCCTGGGTTGGAATCTAGGCTCTGCCTACCCTTCCAGCTTTCTACTAATGTAGCACCCTGGGCGGCAGGGGGGTGGGCAGCAGGTGATGGCTCTAGTGGTTTGGTCCCTGCTACTCACATGGGAGACCTGGATCAAGTTCCTGACTTTAAATATTGGCCTAGTCCTGCCCTGGCTGTTGCAGGCATTTGAGTAGTTAATGGAGTTCTCAGTCTCTTTGCCTTTTAAATTCATGAATAAATTTTAAAAATTGTAAAAACTAAAAAAAAATCCTGCCATTAATTTCCTTTCTTATATCCTTCTACCTAAAATACTTCCTGAGCCTTTCATCTAAAAGGTTGCCTATTTTCCTCATAAAACACATTTCTCTCATACGTTTAGTCCAACAATTGGACATTGATCCAAGTCTATCACTCCAAGTCAGAATCTTTTTGTTTATGTTTTGCTTCCTCTGATGGTCTAACATCTTCTGGGTTCTTGATATTAGTCTCTCTCTCTCTCTCTCTTTTTTTTTTCAGTTTCTTTTTATTTTTCCCTTTTCTTCTTTTTTAAAATTCCAGCAAAGACAGCTTTTCTCTAGAAGATGCTATAAGGCCTTTTGAGAAAGCCTGCCCTTTCCCCTGATGTTTATTAGTGCTGGAATAGTCATCAAAATTATTCTTCACTACATGTCATTATATTCCTCTTAAGGATATACAATGCCGGCGCCACAGCTCAATAGGCTAATCCTCCGCCTGTGGCGCTGGCACACTGGGTTCCTAGTCCTGGTCAGGGCGCCGGATTCTGTCCTGGTTGTTCCTCTTCCAGTCCAGCTCTCTGCTGTGACTCAGGGGTGCAGTGGAGGATGCCTCAAGTGCTTGGGCCCTGCACCCACATGGAAGACCAGGAGAAGCACCTGGCTTCTGGCTTCGGATCAGCGCGGTGTGCCGGCTGCAGTGGCCATTGGAGGGTGAACCAACGGTAAAGGAAGACCTTTCTCTCTCTTTCTCACTGTCCACTCTGCCTGTCAAAAAAAAAAAAAAAAAAAAAGGATATACAATAGAGTCAAACTAGGCAGACTTGACATTTAGAATGAGAAATTCACATCCCAATATTTTTTTTTTAAAGATTTATTTATTTATTTGAAAGTCAGAGTTACACAGAGAGAGGAGAGGCAGAGAGAGAAAGAGAGAGAGAGAGAGAGAGAGTTCTTCCATCTGATGCTTCACTCCTCAATTGGCCGCAATAGCCAGAGCTGGGCTGATCCAAAGCCAGGAGCCAAGAGCTTCTTCCGGGTCTCCCACGTGGGTGCAGGGGCCCAAGGACTTGGGCCATCTTCTACTGCTTTCCCAGGCCATAGAAGGGAGCTGGATCAGAAGTGGAGCAGCTGGGACTCGAACCATATGGGATGCTGGCGCTTCAGGGCAGGGCGTTAACCCACTGCGCCACAGCACCGGCCCCTCACATCCCAATATTTCTAATGTTTCCAGCTTCTCTCTGTTATTTTCAGTCCATTCTTTATATTCCACATTAGCATAAAGCACCTCAAAATCACAGATAGAAGCTGTGTAATTTTCAAGGTTCATTACAGTGTTAACAATCCACTGATACAGCCAGAGGATGCTGGTGTGATAATGCACATAAAGATGTGTGGTAATGTGCCATATTTCAATGTGTTTATCTCCCTGTATGCTCTTATTGGACTTCTTTACTCTTCTTCTGATTGCCATTCAAGTTCCTCAGAAAAAACAACACAAGTAATTGTTACCAACTGCATGATTTTTGCCACTGAACAGGCTAAGTCCCTGGATCCTCCTTTCTTAAACGTGGTAACTCATCCATGAGGTAACTGAGGTGGGGATTACAATCAACCCCAATGTCCAAATAAATCCATACAGAACCTCAGAGCTCTTTACCTCCCAGCACTTGGGTTAAAGAAGTCCTTTGTGTTGGTCATTCCTATATACTTGGAGTTTGTCCTTGACCTCTCTTACTTTCTAGACTAAAAGACTTTCCTTGAGAAAAACACCTCAGGTCAAAGTATCCTGTTCTACTAGTTCTCCGAATTGAAAACATCATTATTCTTGCTACAGACCCACCCCATTCTTGTCATACATAAATGAAAAGAGGGGTGCTCTGTGTGTGTGTGGAGTGGGCAGGTAGAGGGGCAAGGAGCAGTATGAGAAGGGAATTTGGAGAGAATGTTTATCACCTTTAAGTACACATTGCAGTATGAAGAATTGCACTCCCTTTGACCAGTCTGTTTACTTCTTTCACTGCTATTGTTTCTGTTCTCAAGTAATTCTTTCCTCCTGCACTCCTTCCTCCTCCTCCTCTGTTTACTGAGAACTTTATGAGCCCTGAATCTGTATTACTCAAATCTCTGAGTGTTACACAGACTGATGGGCTGCTTTAACTCTCTCAACAGGACAATCATCTATCTCTCCTTGGTGTATGTGCTTGGCCATGTGATCAAGTCCTTGAGTGCATTTCCAATACTCGGGGGGAAAGTGGTACACACGTGAGTAAAGTCTTGGATTCCTCTGAAGGACTTTAGTACCATGAGGCAGGTATGTGTCTCAGGCATTCATTACAGGTGATTATCTGTTCTCTTAGCAGAGATGAACCCTTACTTTACAATCTATGCTTTCATAAACAAATTGGTTAAGAAAAAAAAATTATAAGCAGTTGAACTCCTTTCACCGTTTTTTTTTTTTTTAAGATTTGTTTATTTATTTGAAAGGCAGAGTTACAGAGAGAGAGAGAGACAGAGATAGTGTTCCTCTTCGCTGGTTTACTCCCCAGATGTCTGCATCAGCTGAGGGTGGGCCAGGCAGAAGTCAGGAGTCAGGAGCTCCATCTGGGTCTCTCACGTGAGTGGCAGTGGCCCTAGGACTTGTGCCATCCTCTGCTGTGGGGAGCAATCCGGACTAGACTGAGTTAACTGGAATTAAGACTTATTCTACTCATCTGCTCTCCCACAATATGGTGCTGGGAGAGAAGTAAACAGCTTCTGCACAGCTGCCTCCAGTTCAACCAATAAACTGTAGGACTTGCTCCTGATTGGAGGAGAGCAGCGTACTCGGCGTGTGGGCAGCCGAGTTGGGATTGGCAGAGGAGGACTATAAAGGAGGAGAGAGACGGCATGCACCAGGAATATCTATGGGGAACATCTAAGGGGAACACCTGTGCAGCCCCCGAGAAGAGCCGGCCGGCGGTGTGCCGCTCCCCTGCGGAAGTGGGGAATGTGGCCAGGGGGAACTGCCCTTCCACGGAGGTGGAAGGGATAGTAGCCAACCCGGGAAGAACCAGCAGCAAACCCGGGGAGGGCCGAGCAGACAGAAAGAACAGCGCAGGGTCCTGTGTCGTTCCTCCACGAAGAGGGGGAGCGACATAATGGTGCCGTGACTCGGATATGAAGCCTAGGCAGGGCTTAGTGTCGTTCCTCCACGAAGAGGGGGAGCGACACTCTGCTGCGTTTCCAGGTGCATTATCAGGAAGCTGGATAGGAAGTGGAGCAGCTGTGATGCGAACTGGCACTCACATGGGATGCCAGTGACATAGGCGGCGGCTTTACCTGCTATTCAACAACTGTCAATCCCAAACTTTTCCACTTTATGTGAACTCACTTGTTTTAATTAATTAAGCATGTGAGGACTTCCAGAATGCCTATTATCATCTCCGTAGGAAATTTTCATGTGCTTGAAACCAACTAAAACCTTCATGCCTTCCATATTCCCATCTATTATGCATTCATCCATGCATTGTATTTCACCAGCATTTTAAAAATCTGTAATATTTCCTTATAGATATTATAGAATTCCTATTCCAAGCTGGGACTGTTTCCACTGATGTTCCTTGAGTTCCTTGAGGCCATCACTGTAGCATAGCAGGTTAAGCAGCCATCTACAGTGCCAGCATCCCATATGAGTGCTGGTTCAAGTCCTGGCTGCTTTATTTCTGATCCAGATCACTGCTAATGTGCCTGGAAAACCAGTGGAAAATGGCCCAAGTGCTTGGGCCTCTGGCCACCCATGTGGGAGACCTGGAAGAAACTCCTGGCTTCGGTCTGGCCCAGCACTGGCCATTGTGGCCATTTAGTGAGAGGGAGTGAACCAGTGGATGGAAAATTCTCTCTCTCTCTCTCTCTCTCTCTTCCCCTCTGTATCTCCCTCTCTCTGAAATTCTGACTTTCAAATAAATAAGTAACTCTTTATGTGTAGTTCCATATACTATGATTGCTCTATTCTTCTTTATTAATGCTATTTTGTTGTTTCAGTGGTCAAAGAAATTTGATAGATCCTAGTATCTTTAGATTGTCAGTACAGAAAATTACAGTTGTTCAGGGGGCAGTTCATATGCATCTGTTCCAATATGCCTACATTGTGTTTATCATATAAATTTGGAATTTTGTTTGAAACCAAATAAATATTTGATGCCTACTTAATTGGCATAATCATTGACACCATTTCTATATTGTATGATGAATTTGAACATTTTAAAAATTTTCTGTTTCTAAGAATATGTGGGATTAAGATTTATAAGTCTTTTTATTGATGTGACCCTTTGAGAAAAATGAGATTCAGTCCCTTCAGTATCTAATTCTACCCAGTGGCCACAGGAGTAAATGGAACTCACAGAATCAAAATCTTCCCACACAGTTTATTCTAACAGAGGCTCAGCATTATGAAGATGGCGAGTGTCCATGAGTATTTCCTGGAGTGAAGGAGAATGGGAAACGCCCACAGTGTAGAAATAAGGAGAGGGTCTTTGTCCTTGTGTGCTTTTTTCCAAGTCAGCAGCCCTACAGTTGTGTTTAGTATCAACCTGGTTAGCATCCTCATCTCTCCATTTCAGAGTCCTATCACTTGTCGGCCTATGTCTAATAGCACTGGGGACAGGAGGCATCAAACCCTGCGTGGCAGCTTTTGGTGGAGACCAGTTTGAAGAAAAACATGTAAGAGTTCTGTTATTTCTGTATTTTCAGTGGATGGAAGATCTCTCCATTTTCTTTACCTCAGTTTTCTTTTACATTTATCTTCATGTACCTAGCCCCTCTTCTGTAGCTATTTATGTTTTGTGCTCTCACTCCTTCTCTTTCCCTTTCTTTCCCCTTCCCTTCTTCACCCTCTCCCTGACACAGTACCTACTATCTCTTTCTCCTTCCATCCTGTTCTGTTTTCTTACGTATCTCTTACCTTTTAGACTATTAGGGTTATTTTACACTCTTTGATTGCTTAAGTGTCCATAGGTCATAATTACATGCTGACTCTGAAGAAATGGCCAATTTTTGCTAAGTGAGATTCTATGCATAATAGACTACAAGAATCACATGAGCGAGATAATGTCTAAATGAGAACCAGAAGAAGAAGCAAAACCTGATGTAAATAGAAAATAGGGAAGGATTGATTGCACTAATGTGTCGGAAAAAGCTCTGAGGTTCCAGAATGGAGCACAGCAGAACCTAATAAGTCATTCATCAGCAAATTTATTTGAAAACTGTTTCATGTAGTAACTATTAATATTTCAATTAATACAACAAATCCACCTTCACATTTCTGCCAGCCACTTCTTTTTTTTTAAACAAAATTCACATTTTATTTAGATTCAAATAAACTATACAAAATCGATTTTTCTTCACCAAAAATAACAGCAATATTTTCTGTATTATTTCTAGATAAACCACAAAACACTTATTTTTGTAGGTTTTCCAGGTTTTTCTGCCAGCCACTTCTAAGCCCACCAATTTCCTTTTATTCTCTCTAGTGATCTCCCTCAAGCATTAGTTGAACTATCCTGATTGGTCAACAATTTATTGCACTGTCCTATGTTCTGGTCCTCTTCTTACAACACACCCTAAAAGGTTATCATTTAACTCCATCAGTCATTCACCTAATTAATGTAGTCCATAAACATTTATTGAGGCTGTAATATATGTGAGATGCTGTGTGAGGAACCAGGGCTAACAGAAAAGAAATATGATTTCTACCCCAAATTAACTCATGACTAACTGAAAGAAACAGACATTTAATGCAAGTACATTAATATGAGAATCATATTAATATCACATTCTATCATATTACATACAGGGCACAGTGATGGCGCTGAGCATAGGTTGATCATATTTAGTCAGGTAAAAGAATGTTACAGCTGCTGACACTGGAGTGTCAAAGATGAGTAAATGGGGTCATCCATCCATGGTTTTGAACAGGTTTTAGAACATCATATTTAATATGGTTCTCAGCTGCCATGGAGGCAAAATCTGAATCTGTTCCTTCAGCTCTGAATCTGAACAGGGATTGGGATAGAGCAAGGAGGCTCATTGCACTGATCATTTATCCTGTTTGTTTCAGGCTGAGGAACGGACTAGATACTTCTCTGGCTTCTACCTCGCCATCAATGCAGGGAGCTTGATTTCTACATTTATCACACCCATGCTAAGAGGTCAGAATCACTTCCTGAGGAGCCCTGTATAAGGCTATCTACTCTCAACAGCCACAAAGCTGTTCGGGTCTTCCTGTGGTCCGTTTTTTGGCTTGGAAATCTTTGAGAATTTCTTTTAGTCTTGATTTATCTGGCCCAAAAGAAGGTTTATGGGTTTGGTGATGGGAGGAAAGAGGTTGACTATGTCTACAACCACAGGAACCTGAGATTGTAGATTGAGAACATCAAAGATTCAAGGTTACTCTTCCCCATTTTCTTTAGGAGATGTGCAGTGTTTTGGGGAAGACTGTTATGCATTGGCTTTTGGAGTTCCAGGATTGCTCATGGTAATAGCACTTGGTAAGTGTAGGTGGGGCAAAGGAAACATAATCACTGATGCTTGCCACATGAAAACACCATGTGGGTACTTTCCACAAACTACTGCATTTGATCCTCGCACTAACTCTATTAGATGAAGTTTATTGTAGGAGTTTTCCCTTGGCTTTAGAGATAAGTTCTGAATGAAACCAGAAACCATTTAAAAAAAAAAAGTACCCAGAGTTACACAGCTAGTCAGTTTCTTTAGGAGACTAAAAAAAAAAGACCAGTCTCAGAACCACAGGTAGGAGTCATCAGGGATTTGGACTTCTATAATTTTTAAAGTATCCCAGATGATTCTAATGTATAGTCAATGTTGAGATCCACGGTTCTACCCAAGACAGGTAGGGAAAGACCAAGATAATTAGTCCTCTCTCTTAAACCAGCTTATATTATCTGATACTTGTGTATCTAGTTACTGGAAGACATTTTTCAATTCTCAGAGCCTTTATAATTAGCTTTTGGGTTTACCTGTTTCTTCCCTTTCTACAATGTTTCCAAGGAGTTTTCTCTTGAGCAAAAAGAGAGTAAGGGGGATGGATAAACAGATGGAAACTAATACAATTTTGATCAAGTGGCCTTCTGTTTGCCTCTCAGAACCCAGTCCTGAAGAGAAGGGAGATGTGTGGGCTACTTAGTTTACATAGCCTAAGGGAAACTTGGGCATGATTGTTTCTAATCATTGACCTGGAAACCTGTTCTCACTCTGAACCTCAGAGTGACACCCCCTGGAAGATATCCAGTCCAAACACGTAGAAAGCTCGACAGAGGGAAAAAAGCCCACAAACTCAATGTTCAGTCTGGTTATTTTCTACTAACAGGGCTGATAGCAATACTCAGAGTTCCCAAATACAAGAAACTGTATTCAGGAGAGCTTTTTATAATGTATTATAATGTATTCTCTGACTCCTTCTCCCTTCAAAGTCAAGTACTTACCCAATATTTTCCTGATTTTCCATGGATTAGCACTGTGTCTCCTTCTCTGGATCATTGCACACTACTAATATTTACATAGAAAAGTAATTATGAAGATAAAAGAGATGCTATAAGTGAAAGGTTTTATAAATTATGAAATGTGAAATAAGTGCCAGCTGTCCTAATTAGTCAGCTGCATTAGTTTCCTGAGTGCTAATACATAACTCAATTCTTTGGACTTCCACTGTAATTCAATTTATTGTTGTTTCATTTACTAATTTATTAAATATTTATTTAATGAATCTATTGTGTGTCAGATTCTGTGCTAAGTATTAGATTTCCACTGGCATATTATACAGCTACAGAGCTTGTGCTCTAAAGGAACTTTTACAGTTCAGTAGAGAAAGGAAGACAGACAAGTTAACAGGAATTTACAACATAGCATGGTCAGTGTCACAGCTAGGGAAATACAGAGTCATGGGAACACATAGAGGGGATATCTGATTAAGACTTTAAGAGTCATAAAAGATTTGCCAAAGAAATAATTTCTCAGGAAAGAACTAAGGTATGAACAGCAATTAACCAAAGAAGATATTCTAAAAGAGGGATTTCCAGAAAGAAGAAATGGTATTTGTAAGGAGGTGAAAAAATCATATGATATGTTCAAAGATCTGGAGGGAATTTAGATTATCTGGAACATAAATGAAAAATATAAAGAGGTGACATTGGCAGGAACCAGTTAAAAGGGTCTTTTAAGGTATTAAGGAATTAGAATTTTATTGTGAGGATAGTGATTGCCAGATTTTTATTTTTTAATAATGTTTCTATGATGTGAAGAGGATTGGGTTGAGTGAAGCAAGGATAATATTTTATCTTGATTACTAAGGTTTTTGGCTCTCCCTTCAGTTTTGTGCTCAAGGGGAGTCCCTTACTGAATTAACAAATCTTGTTATAATTAAATGTGTGAGGGGAGGGAGAAGATTAGTCAACGTTGAATGCAGGGTTCTAAATTGAGCAACTGAGTGGATGGCGGGGTCATTAATTGAGTTGCTTGAAGGAGAATGGGTTTGGGGCAATGTTGATGAATTGTGTTTTGGACATGTTGCCTTTTACATGTCCTCTGAGCATCTAATTAGAGTTACCAAATATACGTATTTGGAAGTACTGGTTTAAAGCTCAGAAGACATTTTGGGGCTGTAGATATAAGTCTGGAGTCATTAATGTACGCTATAAGCAATTAAACATTGAAAATAGATGACTAAGAGATAACAAGAGTGAGATAAGAAGAGGCAGTAACAGGGAGGTAAAACCTTGAGGCACACCAACATTTATAAAAGACAGGAAAAGAGGAAACAAAGACGGAATTGCCAAAGTGGTAATAGTGCCATTTCGGATACCAAGGGAATTTGAAGGAGGGACTTGTTCAGTGTGACAAATGTTACTGAGTGAGCAACTGAGATATAAGTGAAATAAACTCTATAAAATATAGCCACAAGGATGCCATTGATATAGTGGTCATCTATAGTAGGTTAGTGGAGGCTGAAGACTGAAGTAGGTTGGAAAGTGAAGAGATTTTTTTAAAAATTGAAAAAATTTAAGTATATTTATCTGGAAATGACACAATTTCAAGGGAAAATATTGAGAACACTTGCATATAATTGGGAATAATGTAGGAAAAGAGTTTGAAGTTATAAAATAAAGACAGAATATATGAAAGTACATATAGAGCAATTATGCTTGGACAGGAGCAGGAGCATCATCTTTAAAGACAGGATGGGTGAATTTAGGAATTAATAGATTTGGTGGCAAGAAGTTGAGAGAGTTTCCGTTTGAAGTCTTCTACTTGTGAAACGGCAACATCATTTTTAAGTTTTGGGGGAAAGAGACACTCAAATTTCCTATTCATCTTCTTCAATTAAGTGACTTTGAAATTTTTTAAAGAGATTTATTTATTTATTGGAAAGTCAGGATTACAGGCCAGTGCGCGGCTCAATAGGCTAATCCTCCACCTGCGGCACTGGCACCCTGGGTTCTAGTCCCGGTCGGGGCACCAGATTCTGTCCTGGTTGCTCCTCTTCCAGTCCAGGTCTCTGCTGTGGCCCAGGAGTGCAGTGGAGGATGGCCCAGGTCCTTAAGGGAGATCAGGAGAAGCACCTGGCTCCTAGCTTTGGATCAGCGCGCTGTGCTGGCCGCAGCAGCCATTGGGGGATGAACCAATGGCAAAGGAAGACCTTTCTGTCTCTCTCTCACTGTCCACTCTGCCTGTCAAAAAAAAAAAATTAATTAATTAAAAAAAAAGATAGTTAGGGTTACAGAGAGAGAGAAGGAGAGGCAGAGAGAGAGAGAGAGGTCTTTCATCTGCTGATTTACTCCCCAACTGGCCACAATGGCCGGAGCTAGGCCAATCCAAAGCCAAGAGCCAGGAGCTCCCTCCAGGTCTTCCCATGTGGGTGCAGAGGACTTGGGCCATCTTCCACTGCTTTCCCAGGCCATAGCAGAGAGCTGGATTGGAAGTGGAGCAGCCAGGTCTTGAACCAGTGCCCATATAGGATGCCAGCCTTGCAGGCAGCAGCTTTACCCACTATGCCACAGCACCGGCCCTATGACTGAAATTTAAGTGTGACTTTGTCAAGTTGCTTACATGGCTTTTCTTTTATCATGCCTTCTCTCTACTACAACCAGCATTCTTGATGTGTCCAGCCTCTTTCTAGGATCACTTTTTTTTAACTTTTATTTAATAAATATAAATTTCAAAAGTACAACTTTTGGATTATAGCAGCTTTCCCCCCCATAACCTCCCTCCTACCCACAACCATCCCATCTCCCACTCCCTCTCCCATCCCATTCTTCATCAAGATCCATTTTCAATTATCTTTATATACAGAAGATCAACTTAGTATATACTAAGTAAAGATTTCAACAGTTTGCACCCACACAGATACACAAAGTATAAAGTACTCTTTGAAGACTATTTTTACCATTAATTTGCATAGTACAATGCATTAAAGACAGAGATCCTACATGGGGAGTAAGTGCTCAGTGACTCCCGTTGTTGATTTAACAATTGACACTCTTATTTATGACATCAGTAATCACCTGAGGCTCTTGTCATGAGCTGCCAAGGCTATGGAAGCTTCTTGAGTTCACAAACTCTGACCTTATTTATACAAGGCCATAATCAAAGCGGAAGTTCTCTCCTCCCTTCAGAGAAAGGTACCTTCTAGGATCACTCTTGATTTTAAGTGCCATTTATTTTCCATCCAAAAGCTTCCCCTTATCTAGATTGATTTCCACTTGATTGCTAAGACTTTCCCTGAAATATTATTTCTATTAACAATAAGAAAGGTTTGTAGATAAAGAATGTTATTTGGAGAAGCCTTGGGGAAACTGAAAAGAAGAACAAAGAAAAGGTGGTAGAATGAACCTGACACAGAGGAATGGCGGAATTAGAAAATGAAGGGAGAGACAGGCAAGGTAATTCATGAATTCTGGTGTGTAAGGAGATTGGGAGATGCAGCTGGCCACTGAGGAAGTCATCTTTAGCAGAGGGTCTCCTAGGGAAGCATCTGTGGAGCGGGGCGTCTGTAAAGGAGGAAAGAGCTAACCAGGATGGAGTCTTCCTGGTGATTTTAATAAACTTCATAGACTTGAAAAACAATAGCACAGATGTAAAAGTAACACTCGCCCATTGCTAGTAATTTGGGAAATAAAAGGAAAAATAAGAAAACAATTCACTTATAATTAGCTGTGGGAATGTGTTTAAATAGAAATGTGAATTAAGGAAAACAGAATGAGCTCAAGAACAGAACTAATACAACAGAGAGCTTTATTACAGGACTTATGAGTAGTACAGAGTTTAGGGCATCTTACGAAGAGTAAGGAGATAGAAAATGGGAAACAGTAGCTTGGGCTTCTTCAGGACAGAAGTCATGTCTTTTTTACCTGTATTCCAACTAGTGTCTAGTACTGTGTATGGTGCAAAAATGAGTAAATGAGATGCTTTATTAGTCATTAAGAATATGAATTTTTAATCAAGTAAACCTTAGGTCAAAAGTACAGTTTCTATAAATTGCTAGTTGTGTAATTTTGAAGAAGTTGCTTAATTTCTTTAATCTTCAGTGTATTCATGGGTAAAGCAGAGTACATATATTTTGCCAGGCTAAATTAGTTAATGTATGTAAAATACTTAATAATTTACTTAATTATGTAAAATACTTAATAATTTCCATAGATGATAGTGATAATAACCACCAGGATAATAATGAATTTGGAAAGTGCTTTCCTGCCAGGAGTTTGAGTATATTAGGAAGATCCTGGAAAGAAGGAAGCAAGAAACTAGGAAATGAAAAACTAGTTGGTGACCACTTTAATAGTCTAGGTTAGAAATTGTGAAATCCTAAACAAGAATGATAGCAGTGGAAATTTTTTTTTAATTTAAGGTATACAAATTTAATGTCATTCATACATACAGATTTAGAAACATAGTGATATTTCCTCCCCTCCCCTCCCTCACACCCACACTCCCATCCTTCCTCCTCCTTCCTCTCTTATTCCCTCTCTTAATTTTTACAAGGTTTTTAAAAGGGGGGGGGATTAATATGGGCAAACCATTACAGGAAGGAGATCACTAAAAGTTGGTAACATACCAAATACGGAGATGGAGAAAGAAGAATGAAAAGCCAAAGATGATTCCTATTTCTGTGATTACATGAAACTCTAAATAGATCTCTCTTAACATTTGGCCATTTTATCTTCTCTTGACCTCTGTAATTTTTATAACTCTAAGGTCAGACAGTCTAGATCAGTTCCTTATTTATAAGATTTGCCAGTCAGTCCTACAGTTCAGCTGTCTGTCCTGTCACTGACATACTGAATGTGCTAAATGAGAAGCTAAGAACCTTGTTTGTGTATCAACTGCAGTTGTGTTTGCAATGGGAAGCAAAATGTACAAAAAACCACCTCCTGAAGGAAACATAGTGGCTCAAGTTGTCAAATGCATCTGGGTAAGTCCATGAATTGTTTACCTGCCTTTTTCAAGCAAAAGGAAAGAGATGCTATGCATAGTGTATGGAATAAAACATGGGCATATAGTTTTTCTCAATAACCTCTGTTTTACTTTTGTGCTTTTGATAAGTTTAGGGTAACTGATCTTCCGGTCTGCCTTTATTTAACCATTAAGTTACAAAAAAGTAATCCTTTTTTAAATTGGCAAAAGCCTTCTGGAATAGTTATATAGGATGCCAACAGGAAATAAGGATAGATAAAAATTCTATCTTAAATATTCTGAAATTCAGGGTCTAATGAGATCAAAGAGTTGGAGGAAGTCACTAGACGTATGTGTGTTTAGGGAAAAGAAAAATGAATTGGAAAAGGCAGGAGACGGTTTCTGTTCCTCCCCACTGATGTCTATGTTCTGCCCTAGTTTGCTATTTCCAACCGCTTCAAGAACCGTTCTGAGGACATTCCAAAGCGACAGCACTGGTTGGACTGGGCAGCCGAGAAATACCCAGTAAGTGGAAACTGCAGGAGCGTCTCCAGGTTCCATTGAGTCCTCCAAATGGATTCTCTGCAGGCACACTTGACTTCTTCTCTTCTACTCTAAGCAAGAAGGCCATATGTGAAACTTCTGGCAATTCTGTGTGTTCTTTCTTCCTCCTTGCAGAAGCAGCTCATTATGGATGTGAAGACACTGACCAGGGTACTGTTCCTTTATATCCCATTGCCCATGTTCTGGGCTCTTTTGGATCAGCAGGTAAGAAGCTACCCCTTCATCCAACCACTTCCCTGTCACAGGAAAGGGATTTTTCATAATAACATCTTCTGCCCTAGGGCTCACGATGGACTTTGCAAGCCACTAAGATGAATGGGAACTTGGTGAGTGGAAGAGATTTTTCAGAGAAATCTATTATTTTCTTTATTATCTGTATTAATTTATGTGTATTTTTGCCTGAAAACTAAGATCATTACAGAGGAGAATTTAGGCTATGGCACTGAGGAGACAAAGAATAAGGAAAGCTAGTCTAGAAATTAAATCTGGAATGTTGTCTTTAGAGATCAGAAAGATAAGGATGGGAAAAGTTTAATATTAAGAGGATAGAAAATTAAGTGATACCAGCCTGGGATGGTGATTTTCTTATTTCTGCCCATCCCAGGGCACAAGAGAAACAAATTTTATTGGTGCTACTGTATGTGTGGTCCCATTTCTCAGGCAGGGATCACAGCAGGGGGATTGTGAGAATGCAGTGTGTTGTATATGGATACACAGAGTAGAAGGGTTATTTTCTCTTCTTCCAATCTCTATTCTTTGGGCCACACAAATAAAGTACCATGTCTGTTCTCAATTGCTCCACTTCCTAGATGATTATATTGTAGTTTGGAAGAAAACAATGTGGAATGATACTAGGGCCATGTTTGTCCATCTGTTTGGCATGGCCAAATATAATTTTACTTCCCTTTGCCACTGACTGTCCAGGATTTCCCATGGTCGTCTACTTGTTGACCCTTTGGAAGCACTATGTGTCAGTAGCAGGAAATCTTCATCCTAATCATGATGTCTTGTCCTTCTCATTATTAGCACCTATAACTGCAGTGGCTGAGATTAATAGAAACACACCAGCTCTGCTCTGTCTCAACCCAAGGGAAGAAGCATGGTACAGGATGAACATACCTAATCTGAAAACCTGAAGTTCAAATTGCTCCAAAATATGAAACTGTTTGAGCACAAATGTGACACTGTAAATGGAAAATTTGATCATGAAACTTTATTTTGTTCACAAAATTACTAAAAATATTTTATGAGATTGTTTCAAACAATCCATATGTCATATGTAAACCATAAATGAATTTCATGTTTCCACTTGGGTTTTAACCATTAGATATCTCATTAGGTATGTACAAATATTCTAAAATCCAAACATTTCTGGTCCCAAGTATTTTGGATAAGGGATACTCAATCTATACACAGAAAAGAATATTCTATCTTGGGCCCATCTAAGTCTAGCAAATAGCCAGAGCCATCCTAAATCTGTACTTATTCCCTGAATATCCTTACAAGCAAGAAAGGAGCCCTGAACCAAAGACCTTATGAATTTTCTTTTGCATACTTCTTACCTGCTAATTAGCAAAGTTCTTGATCTAGGTTTTTCTTGTCTCTGCTACCATCTTAATATAATTCATTATGTTTCAGGGATTTTTTGTGCTTCAGCCGGACCAGATGCAGGTAGGGGCCATGGGGATTTATTTCTTTCCTCATCTATACCTCTGCCTGAAGAATAAGGATTAACAAGCATAACTTTAAAAAGTAAAACTTTTTTTTTTACAGGGAATTTTAATAATTGTACTTCCATACGTGGTTTAAGACCGGTCTTCCCTAGGAGTTTTAACACAAAGCATACACAACATACTCATTTACTAACTCTACTTTTGTCATACACCAGCAACCTCTTTAACATTTAGGAAGACTAGATGTTGTAAAGAAGGACCTGTTGGCCCTTTATACATACATTATGTACACAGCATGACAAACAGCGTGGACAATGGTTCCCCTTGTCCCACCACACACACACCGGCCAAAGCCCTTTAGACTTTCTTCCGCTGCTTCCTCCCTGAAGCAGCACAAACACAAGTGTGTACTGCTCAGACAAGGAGTTCATCATTCTACTTCCAAAAGACAGTATTTCATATGAATTTAACAAAAGGATATCTATAAAATGTATTATTTACTACCTCTACTTTTAACATACTTTGTGCACTTCTGAACATCTAGAAGGACTAGATGTTTCAAATAAGGACTTAAATGTGTCCACTGTGTACACAGTAGTGTGGAATAAACTATACACAGGGAACTGCTTCCATCAGAAAGTATCTTCTGAATAAGAACGTTCTGGAAGGTCTAGAGAAGCCTTCATTTCTTACAACTCCTTCCCCCCACCACCAACAGGTAGATGTGGGCACACTTATCACTGCAATGTGATGTTCAACTTCACTTCCAAAAGTCCTTTTCAGAAGACAGTCTTTCTATGAATTTTAACACAAAATATACAAAATGTGTTAGTTTACTAACTCTACTTTTGTCATACATCGGCAACCTCTTTAAGAGACTAGATATTGTAAAATTAGGACTCCTTTGTCCAGTATATACACAATATATACATTACAGCAAAGTTAAATGAAATGCATGTAACATATAAGGCAATAAGTAAGCTCAAATTTTCTAGCACACACTAGCAAGAACACATTTTGTAATCTCTTCCCTCCCACCTCCCTCGACCCAATGAACAAAGTACAACAGAGTATATTGTCCACAAAAGTGGCTCACCAATTCCATTTCCAAACGTTTCCTATCACTTTTTTAAAAAAGTTAAAACTTTTAAATGTATTTATAAAACAGAAAACAGGAAAGCAATTCCATCTGTTGGTTTACAGGGTTGAGCCAGGCTCAATTACTTGAGTCATCACCACTGCTTCCCAGGACCTGCATTAGCAGGAAACTATAGTCAGGAGCCAGAGGCAGATATTGAACCCAGGTGCTCTGCTGTGAGACGTAAGCATCGTAACAGGCGTCTTAACTATTGGACCAAATGCCCACCCCAACAACCATATTTTGATGCTTTTCTCTTTGTATACTGAGGAAAGCCAAGCCTGGAGATGAAAACATTCTCATTAAGTCCCACAGTTCTCCTTCATGTCCCCTATTAAGTAAATTGCCAGGGAGAATTAGTTTTGGACCCATGGGTAAGGTGTAAGCACTGGATTTCTTTTCATGTCAAGGTAGTATAATGGAAATATTGTCTAAGATGTAAGACTGTACTGTACATGCAGTGAACACAGAATCTCTGTTTATTGGTGATTCTCTTTTCCTTTTTTAAAAAATTTATTTGAAAGACACAGCAATAGGGAGAGAGAGGGATCAATCTCCTGTTCACTGGTTCATTCTCCAAATGCCTGTCACAGCCAGGGCTGCACCAGGCCAAAGCCAGGAACCCAGAACTCTACCCAGGTCTCCATCGTGAGTGGCAGGGATCCAAGTACTTCAATAATCACCTGCTGCCTCCCAGAGTGTAGCTTAACAGGAAGCTGGATCAGAAGCAGAGTCAGGACTCAAACCCAGGCACTCCTACGAGTCCCAAGCAATGGCTTAAAGCTTAATTGCTATGACACAATGCCCACCCCCTTTTTTGTTTTTTTAGCCTCTTGTCCAACAATCCTCAGTTCTTCATTCAGTCTTTCCTTTCTGCTAGACATGACATTTTCCCTGGGGGCTGTGAAACTAGAAAAGACAAGTGAAAATGGTTTAAAAGAATTCCTAATATGATTGACAGAAAAATGGTCTCAGAGTGAAACTAGAAGCTCAGGTGCTATGCAAGGGAAATGAGTGGTTGGGTGTAAACAGACCAAAAAATGTGAAATCATTTTTACTTACAAAGATGAAAAACTGTGTGAATGTGAGAAAGAGCCCCCACAGCAAATGAGAGCACATGCTCACACTCATGATAGAAGAATACCTGTAACTAACCCCATTTACCATGATGTTACAGGTACTAAACCCTCTCCTGGTTCTTATCTTCATCCCATTATTTGACCTTGTCATTTATCGTCTGATCTCCAAGTGTGGCATTAACTTCACGTAAGTGCTCACTCTGCCTCAAATTACTCCAAATGCCAAATGGACTCAGTCTTTGTTTAGTTTGATAAAGATTCAATGCTAGTATGTTTCTACTTAATTATAATTCATTTTGGTTTATCACTTATCTTCATATGTTCTTCCATGTTAAACTAAGAGCTCATTAATACTGAAAAGTGGGAATTTGATCTAATTAATGAAAGTCAAATTCAATACTGTGGACTTAAGTGTGTGATGCTGAAAGAGTAGGTTTAGAATTCATGGGAAGTCAATAATAAATGAGATTAGGCTCCTAAATCAACTTTCTCAATGGTTCTTTTTTTTTTTAAGATTAATTTATTTATTTGAAAGAGAGAGGGAGAGATAGAGAGATCTTCCATCCACTGGTTCACTCCCCAAATGGCTGCAGCTCCAATCTGAAGCCAGGAACCAGGAGCTTCTTCCAGGTCTCTCACATGGGTGTGGGGGTCCAAAGACTTGAGCCATCTTCTTCTGCTTTCCCAGGCGCATTAGCAGGGAGCTAGATTGGAACTGGAGCAGCTGGGATTTGAAACGGCACCCATATGGGATGCTGATGTTAACAGGTGGTGGCTTTACCCATATGCCACAACATCAGCTCCCACTCCATGGTGTTTTTTTTCTATTTATATTCTTGACAGGCAGAGTGGACAGTGAGAGAGAGAGACAGAGCGAAAGGTCTTCCTTTGCCGCTGGTTCACCCTCCAATGGCCACCACGGCCAGTGCACCGCGCTGATCCGATGGCAGGAGCCAGGTGCTTCTCCTGGTCTCCCATGGGGTGCAGGGCCCAAGTACTTGAGCCATCCTCCACTACACTCCCTGGCCACAGCAGAGAGCTGGCCTGGAAGAGGGGCAACCGGGACAGAATCCGGCACCCCGACCGGGACTAGAACCCGGTGTGCTGGCGGTGCAAGGCGGAGGATTAGCCTAGTGAGCCGCGGCGCCGGCCCTCCCTGGTTCTTGAATGTTGCCTCTTTTAACAAGTCTAAAGTCTTTAATGACAACTAAGTCCTCTAATATCTTACATCCCAAATGGGGGACCAGCTAAGACTATGAATAGAATTGTTCCTAATTACTGCTTTTTCCTTATCCTAAATAGAACTGTACAGTTTATTTTAATGTAAATGGAAGTGTAAAGTTTACCTTACTCTCAGTAAAGTTTCTTGGAGGAGAATTTCAAGCCTACTTTTATTTGTCATTTCATAGCAATTTAGTTGTGGTAAAAATGATGACCACTTTGTCATATCCCAATGGCCTTTTGTCATTTACTCACTCATTGAGCAGATATTAGGGAGTTTAGGACTAAGTGTCATACAAATGTAAATTGAGCACAAATCTTTTCCTCCAGGAGTTTGCTATTTAATAAAGGTGTTAGAGCACTTGCAAGAATAACTATTATACAAATAAAGTATGTTAAGTGTTAGGGAAGCATAAAGAAGGAAGACTTTCGTGCTGCCAGGGTCAACAAAGACTACCAAGAGAAAAATGAGGTAAACGATATATAGCACCTGACATTTGGCAAATGTTCAGTAAACCAGGTTGTGTTGTTCTTGTGTTTGGTATTATGACATAATAGACAGACAAACCATCATAAGCAAAGATAGAAGCAGGAAAATGTGGTGCATTACTGGAAGAGCGATTCAATGTGACTTAAGCAAAAGGAAGAAAGAAGGACGTATGAAGTGGAGTATTAGGAAATACCTTGAAAAGTATTTAAGACCAAATCAGAAAAGGTCTCTAGTGTTAGGTTGAGGAGCTTGAATTTTGTCCTTTAGAATCTAAAATTCAGATATAATTATCTCTTCCTTTCCTCTGCAGATCACTTAGAAAAATGGCTGTTGGTATGGTTCTAGCATGCCTGGCATTTGCAGCTGCAGCAACTGTAGAAATAAAAATAAATGTGAGTTCAATAAATCCTAAACTCCATGAGGGCAAACCATATCTTTCTTGTTCACTCTTCTGACTGGTTTAATCTTGATTCTCTGGGTCTAGCACAGTGCCTATTTCACAGAAGGTGTATATAGTAAATGTTTGTGATACACGAGTAGGTGCAAGAGCAGAGCAGCAATGCAAAATGATGCCCGCTTCCCACCTAAGTGACTCAGTGTGTCTTCAGGGGATCTAGGAACACGAATGTCCCAGATATGTAGCCATCTCCTTAGGGAGCAGAGGCATGCTGAATAGTCACCTGTGGGGAATGAAGTATGAGACCATAACTGAGTCAAAAGGACGGAGTTTGTTGCCTGACACTGGCGGCTTGCTTCACTGAGCTGCGGTTTCCCTCCTTAAACTGCCTTCCACATTTTTTAAGCCAGATTCTCTTCAGAGGGACAACTGTGTCCTCTGGTTAGAGAGGCTGTGCTGTCTGAGATATGTGTTCTTATTGTATCTGAAGGGTTCTGTCTTGGTGACTCTGATATTGTTCTCTTCCTAAGGAAATGGCCCCACCCCAGCCAGGATCCCAAGAGATTCTCCTACAAGTCTTGAACCTGGCAGATGATGAGGTGAAGCTGACAGTGCTGGGAAACAATAATAACTCTCTATTGGCAGATTCCATCAAATCCTTTCAGGTGAGCTATGGGCCAGAGTGAATTAAAAATTGTATATGCTGTGTTGATCTTGATTTTTTCTTAATATTAATTGTATTATAAGAATTTTCACATATCCTTAGACAATCATTAATAATGATTTTAATGAGCACATGATATTCCTATCCTATATATATATGATTTATTTAAGTTTGATTTATTTATGTTTATTTAAAGATTTTCACATTTTTTATTATATATCATCCTATAAGAATATGTTTATTCTTAAATCTTTATGCATGCCTTTAATTATTTCCTATGGTAGATTCCTAGAAATGAAATAACTAGGTTAAGGAAAGAAATTACTTGGGGCTGGCATTGTGACACAGTGGGTTAAGCTGTGGCTTGCAGTGTTGGCTTCTCATTTTGGAACCTGTTCAAGTCTTGGCTGCTCCACCTCTGATCAAGCTCCCTATTATTGTGCTTGGGAAAGCAGTGGAAGATGGCTCAAGTCCTTGGAGCTCTTCAACCCATGTGACAGACCCAGATGGATTTCCAGGCTCCTAGATTTGGCCTAGCTCAGCCATGGCTGTTGCAGCCATTTGAGGAATGAATCAGTGGATGGAAGATTCTCTCTCTCTCTCTCTCTCTCTCTCCCTCTCCCTCTCCCTCTCCTTCCCTCCCTCCTTTCCTCCCTCCCTCCCTCCCTCTCCCTCTCCCTGTCTCTGTAACTCTTTCAAATAGATAAATAAATCCTACTAAAAGTTTTTTTTAAATTTTAAACAAGAAAGAAATTACTAGCATTTGATGAGGTCACCCACTCAGATGCCATGAGATTGTGATATGATATGGGGTAGAACATGAATTTGACAAATATTTCCTTCTGCAGAAAACACCTCACTATTCCAAAATACACCTGAATACAAAAAGCCAAGATTTCTACTTCCACCTGAAATATCACAATTTGTCTATATACACTGAACATTCTGTAGAGGAGAGAAACTGGTACAGTCTGATCATCCGAGAGGATGGGAAAAGTATCTCCAGCATAATGGTAAGTTGAGGAAATCGTGTAAATAAATTGCCATCTCAATGTAAGATGGCCGTTTCATCAATGTCTTACTAAGGATCTGACTGATGAGCAAATATCCTGATTGCAAGTCCCCTTTTGTCAGCTATAACTGATTTTTTTTCTGTCTTCTATTGCAGGTAAAGGATATGGAAAATGAAACAACCTATGGGATGACAGCTATAAGGTTTGGATGACACTCTCTTCTAGTGAATCTTGAGTCTCCTCGTTTGTTGGGGCTTCAGATGAACAGACCTCACAGTCTAGTTGTTCTGAACAGGAATTATCTCTCCTAGAGTGCCGGAGGTGCTGGTCTCTGAAGGCATTTTCCAGGACAGTGAGAGCAGAGAGGCGTGCTGTCTCCTGTGGGGTTATGCCTGCCCTCTGTGCTCCACAACATCAGTTTCTTCTGGGCAGCATATACTTACTTTGTTCTCAGGAAAATAACAGTATTTTCCTCTCTGCGATCACAAAGAGAAAGTTAGAAGTGGGAACATAATTCTCTCTTCATCTTTGGTAGCTGGATATCTAATTTTTTAAAGTATCTTTTTTATTATAAGCCTATCACGCATCATGTATCAAGTATCATGGTACAGTTATTTGGGGTCAAAAGACTTGGTTCTGAATCCAGATAAGAATGATGATCTTATCAGAAAACAAGGGACAGTTACAGAGATGAAGCAACAAAGGCCCTCTGCTCTCTGTGGCAGGAAATAGGTTTGAAATAGACAAATACACATGCCCATGACCACCAAGATCAGGTGGTTGCTGTTGAGAATAGCTTTTTAGAGAACTCTGAAAAGTCTGAATTTCACTCAAGGATAGAATAGTCATAATCCTTTGCTTTTGAACATGCTTTAGAGAAAGGAAATGGCTCAAAATAAATAAAACTGAGGCCAAGAGCCAGAGAGCCATAGGCCTGAAGAAGGGGGTAATAAGGGGCACTTTCTAGTCAATGCAGGATAATCTAAGGCCCAGGAATCAATATTTACAACTCTAGAGGAAACGGTCCTTATCCCTTGGGACAGAGAGCAAGACCAAAGCTATCAAAACCTAAATGCACCAAAAAATCACCTTGAGGAAACCTTCTAGGAGCTCAGTTTCAGAAGACTAGAAAAATGGTTCTGGATAGATCCAAGATTTCTGCAAAACCCCAAACAACGATAATATCCTACCATGGGCTAGGGGTCTGAGTTTTGCATACATCAAATTGGACTTCATATGTAAGAGGATCAGGCAAGTAAATACTATTGTATCGTATGTATGTATATATAATTATATCTTTATCTATACATAATTATCTTTCTTTTTTTAGTAAAGTGTCAGTTGATGAATTCCACCGTTATGAGGAAGAGAAATTGTGTGCAGCTAAGATAGACTAGTGAGGAAATTTAGATTTCCATGGGTGATCATGATGGTATCCATCCAGGTAGAGCTCTAAGTGAGGATGTGACGGATTGTAAATTAGTACTTCAGGAAGAACAGAGTTAGGAGCAGCTACTAATTACTTTGCATGTGTGAGTTCATTCATTTGTTTAGCTTACAATTTATATTAATTGCCAGTATTCTAGGCCCTGGGGATATAGTGATTTTAAAATGTCCCCTTATGTGTGCTTGTCTGATGTGTAAATATTATCTCTGCCCTCAGGTTTATTAACACTTTGCAAGAAAATGTCAACATCTCCCTGGGTACAGATATCTCCCTCAATGTTGGTGAAAACTACGGGGTGTCTGCTTACAGAACTGTGCAAAGAGGAGAGTAAGAGCGTTGACCTTGCGCACACTTTTCTCAACATGGTTTTTAAATGCTATCTTCGTAGGGGACTTGGGTACCTCTGGGCTAATTTTGAGTACAAACTCCTGCTTTTTCAACTCTCGCATCCTTCCCTCAGTCTCATCTTTTTCTGCACAGATATATTGAGATCATGATTGTTGTGAAGGCCGTATTGTGTAATTAACAGACCCCATCTCTGTGAGGTTTGCAAAGTTTATTAATGGTTCTGGCTTCTACCCTTTGATACCTTCCTTTAGCACCTCATTACTTAGAGTTTACTGTTTCATGCTGTTTCCTTAAGTTGTAAGATTTGCATGAGAAAAGTTCACCTGAGCCTGAAGTCCACAAAAGGTGATTTGTGCCCTCTTTATTGCAATTTAAGAGTTAAAAGAACACTTGACAGACAATCAGGAGCTTATATCTGGGCAGATAACTAGGAAAATAACTCATGCCTAGAAATGTCTGTCTTCAGAGAGAAAACAGGTGATTTCACTGCTTTGCTCACCTTCCATGGAGAGAGATCACTCCCCTAGAGAAGAGAGTGCATTCTGAGCTGTGATGTTTGTCCTGACCTGAACGCCTCCTGTTCCAGATACCCTGCAGTGCATTGTAAAACAGAAGATAAAGACTTTTCTTTGAATCTGGGTCTGCTAGACTTTGGTGCCTCGTACCTGTTTGTTATAACTAATGTAAGTAAATCACAGCCACCCTTGCTCCTCCATTTGTCTGTCCGTCTTTCTGGGAGACAATTTATCTTGAGCCATCATGGTGAGATGACAGTCTTCTCGATCCAGCCTCATTATGGCCTCAGGAAACAGCTATTATTTATGTTTTCTTGGCTGATGCCATATGCAGATCTCCCAGCTCCTGGAAATTTGGTCTGATAGCACATCACAGTCTGAAATGTCAAGTTGGGTTGTAAATATCAATCTCTACCCAAAATTTGGGTGGTCAGTTAACAGTTAACCAATTACAAAGGTGGTTCATTCTGAGGGTTATAAGGAAGACTGTTCGATGCCTCTTCCATAGCTTCTGGTGATTTGCTGGAAATTTGATATTTCTCAGTGTGTAGAAGAATCTGAATCTCGACCCCCACCACCACCCACACCTCCACCCCTGGTCTTTTTTTTTCTGTAAGGATACCATATGCCACCCTAATAACCTCATTTTAACTTGAATAATTATAGCTTAACAATGCCAATTGCAAGTAAAGTCACATTCTGGAAACTTAACATATGAGTTAGAGGGTGTTTCTGTACTATATCGTTGTATATTGTTGATTGTTCTGTCTCTCATATGCTGCTCAAGATAAAGGCCATATATGTTATTTCTGAATGCTAGCATCTAATAAGCAGCTACAGTAAGAGTCATAAATGATGAGCCTGGATGCCCAGTTCTTTCCATAGTCCTGTCAAGACTGGCTTGCATAGTGTTGACAAAAATAATAAAAGAATTCATCGCCAATATTTAAAATTCAAGAGATTTCCCCTAAGAAGTTAGATTACTAACATTTCTCAGGGAAGAAAAAAGTCAAAAAAATTGATAACAGTTTCTACTGTATCAGTTGGCTAGGGCTTTAGTGGTTATGTACTTTAGATGAGACCTTTGCTGTCCAGTTCACCATAGTCCTCATTCCCATTCAGCCTGTTTCATTTGCTTAATTACCTGCCTGTGGGCATCTGAGTATCTGAAATTGATTTAGGAACCCTGGTCCTGGTCTTCTCTTGTGCTGAGAAAACACAAATAGATGTCTAGGTCTGTTTACCTTATCAACTAAAGCAAAACAGGACTTCTTTCCCTTACTGTTTTGAACCCCATGGTCTTTTAACTCAGAGAACTAAGAGCATTTAGATCACAAAGACTTCTGATCTCATCACTTTTGACCTTGATGTTTTAACTCTGCCATTTTTATTTCATAGTATATATATACAGATATTACACTTATTACCTATAATGGATTTACTTCAAGAATTACATATGCAATTTTTAAAATGTTATTCCATTTATAATAAAAGACATTGGTAGAGCTAATCTATATAAATCCAATCATAGTTTAAACCATGCATATAGAAAAATTATTTTTAGACAAACACACACATACACACAAGCAAACCCTGAGTCTGGGATTGATATATTTGTCATTATTAATTTTTAAAATGACCCTAATAAAAGTTCTTTTTGAACAAAATTCTACTGTAAAATTACATATTTTTGACAAAATTTGAATTAAAAACAATAGCTCTGGAGCAAGTGCCATGGTACATGGTACACGCCTATATCCCATATCAGAGTGCTGACTTCAGTCCCAGCGGCTCTGCTTCCAATTCAACTTCCTACCCTGAAAGGCAGTAGATGATTGCTCAAGTCCTAGAGTCCCTGCCACCCACATAGGAGACACGTTGAAGTTCTGGGCTCCTGGCTTCAACTTGGCCCAGCCCTGGATGTTGTTGCCATTGGGGAGTAAACTCTCTCTCTCACTTTTTCTCCTTTTCAAATAAATAAAAATGAATAAATAAACATTAATAAATGGCCAGTAAGTAGAATTTAAAATAGTAGGTTGTATTTTATATGTTTTTTAAAAATAATGATCCATAAATCTTCAATATAAAAATTCCCAAGAAAATAACTCATTCTGATAAAATAAATTTTAGCAAACTAAAAATTAAAATAGAAAATGTTAAAGTAGTTCAGTTATATTTACATAGAAAATGGGACAAGAAATTAAGCTTTATTTTTAAGAAAATGCTATCTGAAAGCATTTTATTTGTATAATTCGGATCCCACTTTATATTTAAAATGTTATTCAGGATCTGGGGTGAGTGTTTGATGCAGTGGTTAAGGTGCTACTTGCGACCATTTGGGGAATGAGCCAGTAGATGCAAGATCTCTCTCTCTCTCTGCCTCTGCCTCTCTGTAACTCTGTCTTTCAAATAAATAAATAAATAAATAAATCTTTTTTAAAAAAGATGCTACTTGGGGTACCTGCTTCACATATCAGAGTGCCTGGGTTTAAGTCCCAACTCCACTTCAACTTCCAGCATTCCTGCTAATGCCCACCCAGGGAGAGAGCAGGTAATAGCTTGAGTAGTTGGGTCACTATGGTCCATGTGAGTGATCTGGATTTAAAAAAAAGATTTTATTTATTAATTTCATTTATTTGAAAGGCAAAGAGAAAAAGAAGTCATTCATCCACTGATTCACTCTCTAAATGCCCACAACAGCCAAGGCTGGGCTAGTCAAAAGCCAGGAATCCAGAACTCAATTGGATCTTCCATATGGGTGGCAGGAACACAATTTCCTGCTGCCCTGCCGGGGTACACATTAGCAGGAAACTAGAATGGACAGCAGGGCCAGGACTCAAACCCAGACATTCTGATTAGGGGTGCAGGTGTCCCAAGCTGTGCCTTAACTGCAGCTCCAAATGGTCTTCCCCAGACTTCTGGCTTTGGCCTGGTCCCACCCAAGCTATTGCAGGCATTTGAGAGTGATCCCCTGGATGGTAGATCTCTGTCTCTCCATCCTCTCTGTCTTTCAAATAAATAAAAATCAATTTATTCATTAATTAAAATGTTCAGGATAAAAATGCCCAATAAATCAAACTGTAGAAACCCAAACTGCAATATCCATATATTCTGCCATTGAAGGATTCTGTCAATAGTGATATCTGACTGCCTGGAACCAGGCAAACAAGTGTCATGTTACCAAAGGAAATCTCAAAAAGCTGGAATTGTATAGAAATGTTCAATCTCTTATAGGTAGCAGAAGTATGAAAATAAAAAGGCAGCACAGATATAAGATTGTAGAATGCTGTAGTTGGGAGTGTTTACTTGAGATCACTGACAAACTGGTTTCCTCTTTCTAAGAGCACCAAGCAGGGACTTCAGGCCTGGAAGATGGAAGACATTCCAGCCAACAAAGTTTCCATTGCATGGCAACTGCCACAGTATGCCCTGGTAACAGCTGGGGAGGTCATGTTCTCTGTCACAGGACTTGAATTTTCTTATTCACAGGTAAGTGTTTGCAAGTGGAATGGAGATAACGCTTGAAGAATGATGAGTTTTAATCATGGCACCACTTTAAATAGGTACATGATACTGATCAAAACCTCCATCCCTCCTGACCTTGGGTTCCTCATTATCTGAACAATCATCTTGACTCTCAGGATCAAGACCTTGCAGCATAAGGGTCTATGCTGTTCAGATTGCCCACGTTCAATTTTGGCTGCTTGACTTCCTGTGTAAACTTGATCAAGTGAACTGTGTCTCTAGTGCTATTTTTATTTATTTATTTATTTATTTTTATTTATTTATTTATTTATTTATTTTTTTTGACAGGCAGAGTGGACAGTGAGAGAGAGAGAGAGACAGAGAGAAAGGTCTTCCTTTGCCGTTGGTTCACCCTCCAATGGCCGCCGTGGCTGGCGCGCTGCGGCCGGCGCACCACGCTGATCCGATGGCAGGAGCCAGGAGCCAGGTGCTTTTCCTGGTCTCCCATGGGGTGCAGGGCCCAAGCACCTGGGCCATCCTCCACTGCACTCCCTGGCCACAGCAGAGAGCTGGCCTGGAAGAGGGGCAACTGGGACAGAATCCGGCGCCCCGACCGGGACTAGAACCCGGTGTGCCGGCGCCGCTATGCGGAGGATTAGCCTAGTGAGCCGCGGCGCTGGCCTCTAGTGCTATTTTTAATGCCTAAAATAAGGATGCTAATAGAACTTATCTTTTAGGGTTACAATAAAGATTATGTGATGTAGTGTATTCATACAAACAATTAAGAGTTTCTTTTATTCTTACCATCCCCTGAATCTATATGAGAGCTAAACTTAGTAGGGGAAGTTCGAATCTGGAAGCTCAAGTGGGAGAAGTTTCCTGGCTACATACACGGGGCACCAGGGCGGTATAGTTAGTTTGTTGACTTACAAACTTGTATCCTCACCAGGCTCCCTCTAGCATGAAATCTGTACTCCAGGCAGCGTGGCTGTTGACAGTTGCAATTGGGAACATCATCGTGCTTGTTGTGGCACAGTTCAGTGGTCTGGTACAGGTATGGAACTGATGGAAGAAGGGATGGATGTTGACCCTGTTTTCCCTCCAACTTCCTCTTCTCCCATTTTCCCATCTCTCTGCTTCCTATATCCCCCACTCAGTGCTGTGACATGAGATGGGTTAGATACACAGATTTTGCCAGGAGAGTAGACATATGTAGATAGCAACACTGACCGTCATACAGCTATGTAAGAAGGCTGTGAACCCAGTGTTCTCCCAGAAAAGGCAGCCTGAACTGGTGATCCCAATTTGCTCCCCAGTCCTCACCCTGTAAAGCTTTCTTTGATTTCAGGTTTCTCTGTATTTTTTTCCTTATATTTATTTCTTCTTGCAGTGGGCTGAATTTGTTTTGTTTTCCTGCCTCCTCCTGGTGGTCTGCCTGATCTTCTCCATCATGGGCTACTACTATATTCCCATAAAGTCAGAAGATATTCAGGGGCCAGAAGATAAGCAGATCCCCCATATGCAAGGGAACATGATCAACTTAGAGACCAAGAAGACAAAGCTCTGATGACTCCCAGGACTCTGCCCTGACCCCAGTTCTCGACCCCGGTCTCAACCATCACCAGTCTCCAAGCATATTTTTCTGCTATTGGATTAGGCAAGAAACATAGCATCATTTCTGAGCTGATCTTTCATGTTTCTTCTATGATAGAGGTATTTCCAGGACTAGATTTTCCAGTACAAATTTATACAAGCAGGGGATTCTGTTTGTCCATCTATTAGAGAACTCAGTAAACCTTGTGAAGTGTTGCTGGAGTTGGCCTGCTGTCTCCATATGGCCATTAAAATGCAAATGTATAATGGAGCTCAACCTCTGCAGGTATGTGAAGTTATGGGTGATTCCTTTACAGGCGCCTGCCATTGAGAACTGACCCTGCTGTTGGAGGTACTGATTTAGAGGCAAAATTGCAGAGTAATGGAGAAGCAGTATTTCAGTTTCTTTTTTTTTATCTAATTTCTTTATAAGCTATTTAATTGTGCTATGCATAAAGACCTCAAAATGGTATGTATGGCATGATCTGGTCTAGAGGCCAACCTATCAGCCATCCAAGTTTGATAAGACCTTAGATGGTAGGAGTTAACAGAATGACATTTTATTAAGCCAGAGGAAATGATATATATTTGTGACTATGACAGTATCGTATCTACTCCTCCAAACACTCATTTCTCAGTGCCGATAGATCCTGGAAACCAGCTGAAAGATCGCAAACATAGTTCAGTGAAACAGGGACAGATAAAATTGTAGAAATCCTGATAAACCATTCATTCTCCTGTAGTGCACATTCCTCTGAGGAACTCCTTTGTTTCAACCCTGTACTGGGTCTTTCTGTGGACAGCTGTATACACTAGCTGTAATTTTGCAACCTTGCCCTTTCACTATAGCTTGTCAGCTTTTTCTTATTGTATATTTCTCTTGCTTATGGCAGCAAATCTTTAAAAACTTGTTTGCCTAAGTCCAACTTCCTTTTTAAATTATTCCATTTAACCTCAAAGTAGAGGTTTCATTTAGATAAAATTTCCTTGTTTAATTTCCCCATAATTTTAAAATGCCATTTCTTCCTTAGTCTTGGAAATTCCCTGTTTATTTTAAAAAGGTTATATTGTAGATGTTGAGGCACAGTGAGTTAAGCTGCCTCTTAGGATGCCTGCATCCCTTATTGGAGTGCCAGTTTGAGTCTGGCTCCTCCACTTCCCATCCAGCTTCCTGTTAATGTGCCTGGTGAAGCAGCAAATAACAGCCCAAATACTTGGTCCCCTGCTACCCACATGGGAGATCTGGTTGGAATTCCTGGCTCCTGACTTTGGCCTGGCCCAGCCCTATCTATTGCAGCCATTTGGGGAGTGAACCAGAAGATAAAAGATTTTTCTCTAACTCTCCTTCTCTCTCTGTCACTTTGTCTTCCAAGTAAATAAATAAATCCTTTTTAAAGGTTAATGTTCAATTTTCAGGTTCTAAAATAGTGATACTCTGCAAGAGGGCATGATCTTGAATGAGAAATCCTGTCAAAATCTGTTTGTGGGTGTGGCAGGGGGAGGGGAAGGTAGAGCATGAGGGCTTTTTATTTGTGTATGTGGTCATGAAGAAAAGTTGAAAAACATTGCCTTGCACAAAATGAATGAATCGGAAGACAGACTTGGGCATATCATGACTGTGCAGTGTGTTGCTGGGGGGAAGAGTTCTGTACCACCGTAGACAGTCTTACTTCTGTTGATTTTACTCCGTTCTCATCTAGGACAGTGTTGGGTCTCACATTGTTAATATAACAAGAGAATTGGCTCTTGCTCCCCAGCCTTTGTACACTTTAGCTTTAATCACCAACGTGTCAGAAGTTCAGAGATGGCAGAAACACCCAAGTTTCCCCAGACATCTTCATGTGAACCAGACCCTACTTCTTTAGAACAAAGCCTGTTTACTTTTAAGCAGATCTAACCCAAGCTGTTCTATGAATATTGTTTTCAAGATTTGTTAACACTGTTCTGCAAATAAAACTATCTATGGGCAAATAAGTTTGGAAAATGAAGCATACTGCATCCTCTTCTTAACATTTGTCTATTAAAGGCTCTGAGAGATCCTACAGCAAAGACAGGCATTTTGGTTAAAATAACATGGCTCTGTGTTCTGCAGAACATGGGTGTAGGAAACATTGTTAAGCAATTCTTCCTTATGCTGAACTAAGAGTTTCCTCTTTGAAACGTCTTACCATTGATTTTTTTCTTCTAAAGCCATCAAGAAAAAGCACAACTCGCCTTTTCATGTGTCGGACTCTCAGCTATTTAGAAAGAGCTTTCACGCCTCTTCCCCAGTCATTAAGTACTCATCGAGCTACAAATTCTTAGTACCTGTCACGATTCCTCACGAAGCATGCTTCTGTTCTTTCACCATCCTGGTTTCCCACTGCTAAAAAATACGCTGAAGCTGAGATATACCAAATAAGATTAAGATAACTTAATATGTGTTACCTGAAGCCTAATACAGCATTCCACAAGTAGTCTAACTGGAAGAACTAGCATCTACCTTTCTCCGAACAATACACCTCTGTTAATGCAGCATAAGGTAGCATTAGATGTTTCTGGAGACACCGTCACAGTGTAGGCTTGTATTCCAACACATTGGGCTCTCCTTACCCACAGGCTCTGTTCAACCAAGTGCTGATAGAAAATATTTCTTAAAAATTGTACCTGTACTGAACATGTACTTTTTTTTGGTTCCCATTATTCCTTAAACAATACAGTCTAACAACTATTCGCCTGGAATTTACATTATATTCAGTCTTAGACATAATCTAGAGAAGATGTAAAGTATAAGAAGGATTTATGCGTGCTCGCTTCAGCAGCACATATACTAAAATTGGAACGATACAGAGAAGATTAGCATGGCCCCTGCACAAGGATGACATGCCAATTCATGAAGCATTCCATATTTTTAGACTTAGTGTTTGTCACCAATAAATGGTCATACTAAAAAAAAAAAGGATATATGCATAGGTTATTTGCAAAAACTATACCATTTTGAGGCCAGCGCTGTGGTGGGTTAAAGCCCTGGTTTGCAGTGCCAGCATCCCTTATGGGTGCTGGTTCGAGTCCTGGCTGCTCCATTTTCGATCCCACTCTCTGCTTTGGCCTGGGAAATCAGTAGAAATGACCCAAGTCCTTGGGCCCCTGCACCCACATGGGAGACCTGGAAGAAGATCCTGGCTCCCAGCTTCAGATCGGCACAGCTCCAGCTGTTGCGGCCATCTGGAAAGTGAACAAATGGATGGAAGACTTCTCTCTCTCTGCCTCTGCCTCTCTGTAACTCTGCCTTTCAAATAAATAAATCAATCTTTAAAAAAAATTACATCATTTTACATAAGAGACTTGAACATCTGAGGATTTTGGTGTCCAAGGCAGGTCCTGGAACCAATCCTCTGTAGATACTGAGGACTGATTGTAAATGGTGACTAAAGCCTCAACAATTTTAAAGAAAACCAGTGTAGTATATTTTATCATACACCTTTGTTTTTCCAACAGTTAAACGAATGAATGGCATGTGTGTGGGAACTTCTTCTGGGTCCTCCACGTGGGTGACAAGGACCAAAAACACTTGGGCCATCTCCCACTGCTTTTCCTAGGCATTAGCGGGGAGCTGGGTTGGATGTGGAACAGCCTATTTATTATGCTTGATCATTGACTGGCCTTCCTAATGTAAAACATTTAGCATTCCCTCATTGTTCTGTCCTCACAGTAGCTCCTTTGAGAAGATAAATTCTGGTAGTCTAAAATACTTCGACCTTGCAGTCAGTTCACGCATCTCTTGATTTGGGGGACAGTCCTAAATATTAGGAGATCTTCCTACTGAAGTTTGATTAGCTGACATCAATTTCTCAACTTTTAAAGGTACTATACAATGTTCTATTATAATTTTTAGATAAACACATATATTCTGCAAGAGGTATCTCAGTGCATGTGCGTGTTTTTGTGTGATTCAATATTTGGAGCAACCTAGAAAAAAAAAGCCATACAAAGAGACACACTCAAACACACTAGAAAAATCAATATGGAATTCTAAAAAGTGTACAAATAACACACAGTAAGGCCGAAAATAAAAAAGAGAACACACAGAAAATAAAATGGCATATATAAATTCTAACATGTCAAAATTATGTTAAAAAAATCCATGGGCTAAATATACCATATTAACAGCCAAAGAAAAAAAGTCACAATAATCATAATCATACCAATTGGTAAGGAAAAATCATTTGCCAAGATTCAATACCCATTCATGATTTAAAAACAAAAACAAACAAAACCTTTCAGTAAAATAGGAATGGAAGAGAATTTCCTCCAATAAAGGGCATCTACAGAATACCTACAGCTGACTATGAACTTAATGTTGAAAGAGCCAGTGCCTTTTCACTCAGGTCAAGAGTGAAGACAGGAATGTCCACTGTCACTACTGCAAATTCTAGCTGCGTGACACATACTCTCTCCTTACCCAAACTTTAGAAAAACTCCTGAGCTTCATTTTACCCATGGCCTCTTTTCAGCATACTCAGCCTAGTTTTAGCAAGATTTCTGCTAGGTCAGTTTGGAGAGAAACCCCCACCCTTAAACACTTGCCTTCCACAAAGCCCTTTCAGCCAGTTTGGCAGGAATCCCCCATGCTATTGATGTCTCCCTATAGTAACCTTCCATTCACTGGCCAACCTCACTGTGCTCGTTGGCTACAAATCCCAGCTGTCTTTGTTATATTCAGAATCTCGTCTCTATCCTGTACTGCGAGAGCCTTGATGCCTTTGCAATAATCCTAAAAAAAGTCTTTCTGACTATTTTAACAAGTTTCAGAGTGATTTTTCTTTAATAAATGTGGTAAGACAAACAGAAAATGAAAGGCATACAGATCAGAAATTAAACTATGTGTTTACAAAAGACAGAATTGCCTACAATATGTAGAAAATCTTAAGAAATGTACAAAAATAAACCCCTAGAACTAATAAATGAGTTCAGAAACGTCTCAAGATACAGGGTAAAAGTACAAAATTCAATTGCATATATATTTAAAAACAAGGAAATTAAAATTAAATTTACAACTAAGAATACAATACCATTTACAGTTCCTCAAGGACAAACACACTTAGGTGTACATCTAATAAATATGCATGATTTATACACTGTGAACCTCAAAAGAGTGATGAAATAAAAAGTCTAAATAAATGAAGAAATATGTATTCAAGGCTACATATTGTATGTTTCCATACATCTGACATTCTGGGAAAGACAAAACTTGTAAGGATGAAAACAGATTAGCAGTTGCCAGGGTTTGGAGAGAGGGAAGTTGTTGATCACAATGGACAGGCACAGAAAAATATTTAAGCTGATGGAACTGTTAATATATGGCACTGGGGTTGTGGAATATGGCAGTAGTTCTCAGCTTAGGATGATTTTGCAATGTCTGAAGACTTTTTTGATGGTCACAACTGAGGATGCTACTGGCATCTGGTGGGTAGAGGCCTGGGATGCATCTAATCAGCCAGTCATGGATAGAGCAACCTTTTCTCCCATTACAAAAAGCCATCTAGCCCAAAATGTCAATAATGCAACACATTTGTCAAAAACTCTTAAAACCAAGGCTGGTGTTGTGGCACAGAGGATTAAGCCTCCCATACTAGACTGCCAGTTCAAGCCCAGCTACTCTACTTCTGATCCAGATCCTGGCTAATGCACCTGGAGAAGCAGCAGAAAAAGGGCCCAAGTACTTGAGCCCCTGCCACCCACATGGGAAACCCCAGGTAGAGTTCCTGGCTCCTGCCAACAGCCTGGCTGTTATTGCCATTTGGGGAGTGAATCAGTGAGTGAAGATCTCTCTCTTTCTCTCTCTGTCTCTCCTTGTCCATCACTCTGCCTTTCAAATAAATAAAGACGGCCAGATGGCCAGATGGCCAGAGATGCGCCAATCCAAAGCCAGGAGCCAGGGAGTTTCTTCTGGGTCTACCATGTGGGTGCAGGGGCCCAAGGACTTGAACCATCTTTCACTGCTTTCTCAAACCATAGCAGAGAGCTAGATCTGAAATGGAGTCACTGGGACTCAAACTGGTGCCCATATGGGATACCAGCATTGCAGGGGATGGCTTTACCAGCTATGCCACACTGCCAGCCCCTATTTTTTATGTTTTAAAACTATTTTACTCTTGCTCTCTCTTCTCTCTCTCTTCTCTCCTGCTTACTCTCTCTTCTCTTGTCTCTCCTCTCCTCGCCAGCTCCTCTCCTCTCTCTCTCTACTCTCTGTTATACTTCCTTTTCTCTCTTTGTTCCCTCTTCACCCCTTCCCTCCGGTCTGCTGGGTTTTCCCCCAATAAACCCTTTCCCTTAAAAAAAAAATTTTAAATCATGTTTAGCTGTCTTCACTAGGTTTATTTTTAAATGAGTTTAACAACCATGACTTTTACTCCAGAAGTATTAATTGATTCAGATAGGACAGGTCTAAGAATGTATTTTCAAAAGTAAGCAGACACTTCAACTTCTGGTTAAGATGGAAGAACAGGGACTGAATTATCATCCTCTTTGGCACAAAAAAAGAAAAACAGGCAAAGTATGTGAAACCATGGTTTTAAGGACAGATACCAGGCAACAAAGATCAGTAAACTCTGAGATGAGAAACCAATGAAATGAGCCATCCACCTGCTTTTGCTTACTCCCTTAAGAGAGGAATAAGCCATGAAGAAAATAGGTGTGTCTGAATTATCCTACAGAACACCCTGAGGTCAGGAGTCCAAGAAGATGAACGCAGCTGGAATTCACTGGACAAGAGCATCAGAGTGAGGAGGCCTGCGCAAAGAGAGAATCTCGGAGGTCTGTAGGAGGTGGGTCTTGAGTTTTCAGAACACTGAGTGCAGCACATGAGGGAACGCCCTCAAGCCAATGAAGTAGCTATTTGGAAGGACACAAAGGGACAGTACCTAGGATTCCGACTGGGCAGAGAATAGTGTACTTTTCTACAAGTTAGATTGGAAAGAATTAACAATTTACAGGACCTTGGGTAGAG